TCTTTTATTACCAAACTCATCATATAATGGGAAACGTTCACCAATTGTACTTTCAATTGTGGATGAAGCACTTGAAGCTAAATTACCCAATTGATAAGAAACACCAGTGACAAAAGCTTTAAATTCTGGTGGTGATAATTCAGAAAGATGAATTGGAACAATTGCCCAATTACCTTGAACGAAAAATTGTAACCAAAATGCACCAGCATTAATACCTGAACCTTTAACAAATGCCCATGGATAAATCATTGCCCCACCACAAATACAACCAATAACAACAATAAAACGACGACCAATAAAACCTGAAAAATGACCCATAATAACACCACCTGCAATTGCACCTAGATTTGCAACTGAATTTGTCACAGTGGAACGATCTTTACCATAACCCAATTGATTAGTTAATAAAGTTGGATATAAATCTTGAGAACCATGAGATGAAAAATTAAAAGCAGACATTAAAATAACTAAATAAATGAATTTTAACCAATTTTGTTTTAAAGCATGACCAGCATCTTTGTAAAATTGGGATTTTTTATTCTCTCTAAGATGGATTTTTTGTTGTAAAAATTCATCAGTTTCTGGTAAGCATAATCTCCAAATAACAAACAAGATTGGAGGTCCTGAACTAAACCAAAATAATGATCTCCATTCTTTTTTAGTAGTATCTGTGATTGCTCTATTGAAAACAACAACTAATAAATAACCTAATGCATAACCTTGTTGGAAAATTCCTGATAAAACTGATCTTGCTCTAACTGGTGCACCTTCTAAGGAAGTTGCTGATGCAATACCGAAAACTGCACCCATGAAAAGTCCAAAACCTGAAAAGATTGTTAGTAAAGTTTCCTCCAGTAGTTTCATAATAAGTACTCACAAGCACGAACACCCAAGAATTGTTCATAAGTCTTAACAAACCCACAACCAATTTGGAAAATTGATAAACATAAAAGATTAATACAATAAGGATATTTTCTACCATATCTATCACCCAATATACCAAATATAACAGCTCCAACAGATCTCAACATTAAAACTAATGTAATCCCCCATGTCACATCTTTAACTGATTTATTCAAATCTTTGGCAATGGCATTAACATTCAAACTAACAGCAAAGAAATCAAACGCGTCCCAAGTCCATGCTAAGAACCCAACAAGGAAGAATTGCCATTGTCTCCATGACATTGAACGTAGTGCTGGGAATGGATTAAGAGCTTCCCTTTCACGATGAAGTTCTTCCCTCGAGGGGATAAGAGTGGTGAAACGAGTGATGAAGTATTTCTTTATGGATTGTGGTGATAAGTCAGCCATGGTGTGTTGTATAATTCATTCCTAAACATTGTTGAATGAATAAATCTGGAGATTGGCTCTTTATATATGGTTTTTCCCAGTTATGTTGGGCTTCTCTCCATTTCTCCACAATTTGAGTCCATGAGCTATTGATTATGATTTCCATTTGATGCTTCATAGGCTACGACTGCTTTTTCCATCAGTCACAAGTTGGACGGCTTTAGCATGGGACTAGAGAGGCTAGACTGGTGATCATTAGCATTTGTGGAGTACAAACACAGATGAGTGCTTTGCACAGAATGAGGGAGGATGTAGGGTGTGCTAAGTGTCGTATTAAATTGTAATCTAGTTTAAAATCATGATTAGTTACTTTATTGTCACGGAGATTTCAGCCGGAAGTGTACAGGTTTTGCCCAGAGTAAAATAAGCTATTTGGGATTTTAACAAGAGAATTAATAATTATGGCAGGTAGTTATAGAAAGCTCAATAAAGGAATAATAAGAGTAGATAGTGTTTTGTCATACATTGTGCTAGTATGTAGTGTACTATTGGTTTTAGTCTAGTTCAACGTTGCTGGTGAAGGACCCCCAATGCTGCTGCTTTGGGCAATCTCAAGAGCAAGACTGAAGTCAATTTGGAAAAAGTACCCTAGGGCTGCTTTAACATCTCAGACATGATACTTGAAGGTAGAACCCGACTTTTGACGATATCAACTAGCTAAACAAGTGTAGAACGGACTCCAGTCTCCACGTCGTCCATGAACCAAGAGAACTCAAAGCATCAACTATTTTTTGATCATCAAGATAATGTCACTTTACGGAACTTGAAAGGCAGAATTAGTTTTGAAAGGGCCTTGTCATTTGAAGTGCTTAATTAGTTGGCAGCTGTGGAAATTCTGTAAGGTGAGTTTGATTGGTGTCAAAGAGTTTTGGAATAAATCAAATAGCCTGGTACTTTGGGTTAATATTTAGATGAGTCCTGATCGAAAGGTTTATTAAAGCTTCACAGATTCGTTTCAAAGGATTTGTAGTTTTGCAGTACCATAAAACTGAGCTCTTTTCAACAAAGAAAGAGTGTTCACAGCTCCAAAGTGTCATCTTTTACTATAGAAACTTCTCTGGGCTGTCTCACTGCTTCTAAGTTGTGGTGTTCGAAGTTTGAAGTTTGTGTTGATCTTCATCAATTAAATGAAATCCAGACCCCGATGCAGGACTTGCGCCGCCAAAGTCTTGAGTCTAGAAAGTCTAGTGATCTGACCTAGGCCTCTCTTCATCATCAAAAAACTTTCAAGTTGCAACCTTTGTTGTTGATCTTGGTGAACCAACAACTCCAAGCCTTTTAATCCTACTATTCCCTGAGCTATATGGTTGAACTCGGGGCTTTCAAAGCTTCGATTTGTCAAGAAGCAAGAGTTCAGTGGTTCAGTTCATTTTCGGTTTGATTTGGTCAAAATTAGTGTTCCGAAGCGAAAATTGTCAAACCGAGTAGAAACTACTTCTAATGGCGCTATTGATATTGGTGATGCTTTTAAACCATTATTAAATCATGTTACACAGCTGATTATGTTTTTTGATGATTTTATATAGAACTTCATGCTTTATAGTGGATAAAAGTAGTGTCCTAAACCAAACATTCAATATATAAGGGGGCACCCGCCATTCGGTTCGGAGCTCAAGTCTGAAACCCCCGAGAATCCGAACCCATAATCTAATTGTGAGATCGCCATTTTCTACAAACTACTGGTTTCTGAACTGTGAATCAGCTTCGAAGGGTCAATGTAAATCCTCAACTTGGATTTCTAATCATATTTTCAGTATTGTCCTGTAGCAAATTTGTACTTTATACATTCTGTTTTGGCCAATTCTTCGAAGAAATTCTCTTGTGCCTTTATCACCATATAATCCATCTTTTCATAAAAGATACTTTTTCAAGATATAAATAACTTGAAAGATCTAAAAAGACTGTTCCTGATCTTTGAGTACTTGATGATTTGAAATATGGGTAATATCTAGCTCAAAAACTGCACATCATAAATCACTAATGTTTTCCAATATCGCAGGAAATTCTCTGTGTGCCATTATTAGTCTCACCATATCATCAGTTCTCTTATAACTCTGAAGACTAGTGTCTGGTAAAAATAAATCAAACATATTAGCATCCAATTCCTCTTTAGTCTTTATGACGAAGTCATCTCTTCCCTTAAACTCGTCTGTTATATTAACCCCTGAAACTCTGGAGTCCATAACATGGCATTCAATAAGTTTTTTGAAATTTTCAATATCAAAACTCTCAAAGGAACAATTTTGCACATTGAGATACTCCAATTGATCACTTTCAGGTATTTTGTAAAGCGATGAATCCCTAATGTATAGTGCTTTTAATTCTTTATAATCTGATAAATCAGCACCATCCCTTTCAAAACCTTGTACACTCAAAAATCTCAAATGTGGTGCATTAATTTCCAACTTGCAAAGCTTCAAGTCTGACAAGAAGTGATAGACAGATAACATTTTCAACTTTGGGAAATGGCAATTTTCAAAACTAACATCAATCGACCTCATATCAAAAAAGAGTTTAGTATTGAAATGAATTATAAATGTTTCCAATTCTGGTAACTTTTGATTACAAAAACTCCATTTCAAATCTTCAGGAGTCATGCTAAAACCTGGACGAAAAAAAGGACCCACATATCTGAAAACTTTTAGCTTGGGGAAAAGAGTTGTGATATCTTGAAAAATATCATAATCAATTGAACAATTGCGCAATGACAAAACTTCTAAATTTGGAGCTTCCAACTTTAATTTGTCGTTATCTGCAAATATAACATCTGTTAAACAAAGAGTTTTCAAATTTGGAGCTTTGATGAATGATAACCCATCATGATCATATTGACCTTTTTCAGCAAGATGCAAGTACTCTAAATTTAAAAGGTTTGATGTATCAATGTAAGGGATACTTCTAGTTAACATTGTCAATTGCGAAACATTACCAAACAAATTTCCATCAATCTTTTGATTAAAATTTAGATCATCATCATCGTCATTATCGAAGAGTATTGCGATTTCCATGTCTTTCAAGTTTGGTGCCCATATTTTTTTACAACTATCAATAGCTGATCCACTAAATTCAAACCTTTCCAGTCTACCAAATTGACAATCTTCAATCCGTACTGTTTCTTCGAGTGAACGAACACTCAACAAGCCTAACTTTGGTGCCTTAATGTTCGAAATTTGCACAGTTCCAAGATCATTAATAATTATTAAACGCTCTAAAGAAGGAAACTCAAGTCCTAACATTTTTTTGAATCCTGCACAGCTCAAAATTTCCAAAGTTTTCACATTTTTAAAAGGTTCGAAATAACAATCATTTTGCAACATTTGTGCATCGAAAAAACAATCTTTAAATTTAGTAGTCATGGGGAAAGTTAACAGCTCAGGACATTCAAGTATAGAAGTTTCAATGAGTTCCATTTTTTCCAAATTAGGAGTCACTATTGGATGACCAACTTTAGGTAAAAAATGAGCACTGGAAAATTTCAAATATTTAACCTCTGGAGCGAAAAATGATTGTATTGGCAAATTCCAAAGATGTATTTTAGAACCTCTAATCTCAATTGGATGAATCATATCATCTGTTGATTGTGATAAATTTTTCATCAATACTATAATCAGAAAATCATGAACAGTAACATTACCTAAACCCAAAATTGAAATATTGTATGGGGGTTGTTCAGTTAGATATTCGCAAACTTTGATTGAAAACAAACTAGATATCCCCTTATGCCTCAATGCCACTATCAACAAGTGAGGTTTTGTTCTACCACTTTGACGTAATTCATTTAGATCCTTGTGGAAATATGTGATTGATTGGGGTGTGTCCAAATTCTTTTCAGTCAGAATTATCCAGTACCTCCATATTGGTTCTAGTTCTTGGACTTTTGTGATTGATATGAGGTCTGATGTATATAGAAGGCATGTGATCTTGTTGACTATTTCTTGTGGAAATGAGAGCAAAGAAACCATCTGAAGCTTGATATACGAACAATGTTTTAGATAAATCAATCTAGATTCATATATAGTTGTGTTTTTTTCGTAACAACTTCTGCGTGCGATGACCAGATATTGAAGAAAAATCGATTCCAGTGAATTTTTTTAACTGGGAATTAGTAGTTCAATCGTATATATCGATATTTAATATTGGCTGTTGATACTATAAATATTTTATTAATAACGATAAATTAATCATATTATATTAAATAATTATATAATCATATCAAAAATTTATAATTATACGCATCCTACTGGCTATTTGAATTAAATATATATGATCAATCAAAACATATAGTAATTAATTTTACTAAATTAACGTCGAAAACATGTCCAGGCATCATCTATAGCCTAAATAATCTAATGCATGACTTTCAAATATATGGTATCACAAATTATGGAATTATTTAATCATTAAAACTTTTGTTGATTACGTAAGCCATAACTTAGTCTGGTAAACCACAAAATTTAACCGTCAGAACTCGTCCTTGTTAGCTCAGTTGGTAGAGCGTTCGGCTTTTACAGTCAAACTAGGGAAAAACCATTTCTTAGCGGAAGTTAACCGAAATGTCGGGGGTTCGAGCCCCCCATGAGGAGTTCTATTTTTTTGCCAATTTTTTTTACCAATTTTGGGTTAAAAGGACTGAAATTGATCATATATACACTCTATGTTAGTTACTTGTTGCTCTGTTGTTGATATTCCGGCAAAAAAAGTTATGTTTTGGAGTATCCTACATTTTTTTTTTCATTTTTTTTATATGTCATACCCCATTT